ATTGAAATTCCATTTCCTACTTTTATCACGTTTGATGACACTTTTTTTCCCTGAAATTGGTTTTCCACATTTGCTTGTTTTCTTGGTTTTAGTTGAATTGAAATTCCCACCTCTTAGGTGGGAATTGAAATTCCTTTCTTTTTTTTTTTTTTGGCAATACAAACAAATTACATCCCCAATTGTAAAAATAATTATCCTTTTAATTGACAATTTTCATATAAAACAAAGCCAAACGAACGCCAAAAATTTTCCTTTTTTTTTGGCAACCCAAACAAATTATAGCCCAAATTGTAAGAAATTATATCCCTTTAATTGACAATTTTCATAAAAACAAAACCAAACGAACACCAACAGATAGAAAATTTCAACATTTTCACAGGTGAAAAATTATACAAATCAAATACAATTAATTGATAATTCTCAGTAAAACAAATTCTCGACAATTCAATTCCCTACAATTCATTTTCTTTCTACCCAAATTCCATCTTTGAATCAAATGGACCTACGGTAAGTCGGCAATATTGAATTCCACCTATATAAAACCTTATTATTGTAAAAGACAACAACTATTAATTTGTATGAATTAATTAAAGTGAGATTCACTTTTCTTCTTGTGCTTCATTGAAATATCAAGAATTTATGACAAATTTCCATTTTTGTGATATTCAATCATCAAATCTTAATTCTTAATTCTCGATTCAAAAAATCATTAGATCAAGGTTCTTCAATTTGATTTTAACTTTCTTGACGTATGTTTATCAAATTTTATTGTGAATTTCAAAATTCATCCTTCATCTTCAAAGAATTATCTCTATGAAGAAAACGGTGTTTTGAGCATCATTATTTTTTAAGAATTTATTTTGAAATAACAAATTGATGGAGAGTGTAGTTAAAAAAGGAAAAAAAATTGATTTACGTATAATATTATTTTAATGAAAAATGTGTGATTGAAAAGAAGAAAAAAAATTATTTTAAGAAAAATGGAAATCAAATATCCCCTCATTATAAATGGAAAACCATAAAGCATTATAGCAAGCTTTCAGTATTAAATGTTGATGTTCAGACATGTCCCTGCTAGATAAAAACTTGCTCTGCTTTTCTCATCTTCAAGTGGCTGAGGACATCATCAGTCACCTTATAAATAAGTTAACTTCACTTTGTATTGATGCAAAACACGCTCCAGTTTCTTCAGATTAAGCCAGAGTTGCAATATACAAAAAGCTCGGAGACTTCGATGATGTGCTTCTGCTGAACGAGATGGAGGTGGACCTACATAGAAGAATACCCAGCTTCCATTAAAACTAGACTCAACATTTAAGATCGAGAAGACAATACAATAAAGGCTGTCTTAAAGACTATGAAACCCATCTTAAGCAGTAAGCACCATACAATGTTAAAATCAATTGAAAAAACCAACGTAGGACCATCAAAATATTTTGCAAAAATGGGGCAGGAAATTCATTGACTATAGCCTCTTCGGCATGCACATTTTGACGTTCCTGATTAATTTTTCAAGATGTCAAATTCCCTGTGAATTATTGTGCGATGCGTTCATCTGTTTCTCAATAAATAAAACATAACATCGAGCAGATCAACCAAAAGAAAGAAGACGTATGCCAGTTACTTGCAAGCTGCCAAGTTAGAAGTGATCATCACAGTCAATTTCATCTAGTATGCAAATAACAGTTGAACGGCGGTGACATAAAACTGATTGAGACAGGTGTTTCTTACCTATATAAATAAAGAACTGCCGAGTACTTTTAGCCTGACAATTGTTCCTTGAAGAGTTTAGGAGTAACCTTCAGAGAAATATCATCATAAGGTTTTTCTTGATGTAAATTCACGAGTCCATAATTCTTAAGAACCTGAAATGAATTAAAAACAAAGGTTTTCAAAATATCAAAAATGGGATAGAATGGTTGCTTAACAGAAGTGCATCTATACTTTTGGATTTGGCTTGCTTCGATGATAACCTTAAGAAATGCAACAAACAACTTTTAACCAACGCACCCTAAAATATGACCAATTCTCATCCCGAATACTATATAGTAAATCTGATCAAAGTTGTTCTGGCAACCTAGTAACTACAGAAAAATAAATTAGCATCAAACCATTTGAAGACTGAAGACATTCTTTAAAACTCAGCAGAAGTATATGATTAATCAAAACATAAAATTAAGAAAGTCGAGCAATGCCAATTTGAAGTTCATCATGTATTTCAAGTCAAAAGACTAATAAATACTGAAATATTTACATGTGACAGAGCAAATATTTGAGCATTTACCAAGGTCTCAGAAAACATTCGAGCACATATTTTTCTCGGTTTGCCTTCCAAAATCTTGAGCAAACTGAGATCTCCAGAAGACTCTTCTGAGTTGCCAGAGACGGGAGTTACTGCGGCCTGGCTTTTTAAATATTGAGCCAAAGCTCTGCAAACCAATCACATAAGAATTTATCACAGAAAAGCTCCATTGCTAATAAATTTGATTTGTTTCACTGGACAGAGTTTGACAGGTCACTTGGGGACGGGATGAGGACCGGGGGAAGAATCTACCTTGTTCGAGAAGACAAGGTGTGCACTTCAGGAGTCCCCTGATTTTTTGAGAAAAACCCAGCTTCTGGGGTTCCTTGAGATCCTATTAAAGCAGAGGTATTTATCATGTCTCCTTACAACAAGCATAGTTTTAGTAACTTGTACAGGAGTCAGAAAAAATAACGAACTTGAAAATTACCAGCTGGCGAATGATCATCTTGTTCTAAGAAACCAAGCTCCTGGAACATAAGAAATGAGCAGCATGTTAGATGCAAAATTCAAGGAGTGCATGTCATAAATTTGTTGAATTAGTTTTCATCTTTAAATTAAATGGAAAATATGACACAACACACCACCATAAAAATTGAAGATGTGAAAACTTATAATATCATAAAAGAGCGCAAAAATGTACATATGAAAAAAAAAAGGAAATGGAGCAAAATTCTGTTTATTCCAAACTCATTTTTCAAGAAATAAGTTACAGAATAGCATGGACCGTGAAATAGAAAGTGTTCTATCCTATATGAAAGCTAGTAGAATTTAAATACATATAAAACAAATAAATGGAATGGTCATATGAGTTGTCTAGGAGATGCAATTAGCAAATAAGTCAACCTAACCAAGGCAAACATGCATTCATATACAAAATATTTTCAGACATAATGTTCTGCATTAAACATTGCTTAAACCAAGTGCATTTCCCACTGCATCTACTTGTACTGCACTTAAGTAGGCTGTAGATGGACATTTAATTTCCGTATCTATCATTTCTATGTTTGGGGAGAGAAATAGTGGGTATGATATAAAAGCCTCATTTTCCTATCAAAGAGATGCCAGCTACATGTGAAAATATAAACCATGCTTCAACATGGTTTTATCAGTCAGGTTAAAATAATTTAGAAGCACAGGTTCATAAGAGCATTTTGGATGGAATACTTCTAGAAAGCAGGAATTATATGTAACCATGAAAACAGACTTAATAAGACTGCAAATGAGCTGAGCATACTAGCTTCTGCAAATATTGGACTTAAGCTTAAGTTCAACCAAAATAAACAAGGGGTCAGCTGAGGTCAAGCTTACTGAGGTTAAAATTTTAAAGCTCAAGCTAGATTGATGCATAAAAATCAAAATTCCAGGCCCTCAAGTGTCATTTGAGTCTGCTTTGAGCAGATAATTAAAACAAAGCCTAGTTTTTTGCTTGAATTATCAACTATCCCTTAAAAAGTATGTAAAATGTTAAAAATAATAATAGATAATGTAATTAAATATTAACTTATTGATAATAAAATATACAATAGGGCAAATTATAAAGTAGAATAAAGCTCTGAACCCAGTCTGTGAGCTAACAAGCACTTAAGAGTAGTTCAGGTCGAACTTGACTTGAGCTCAAAAAATTCACAAAAGCAAACCAAAGACAACCTCTACTTAGTGTTTACATGAGGTAGAGAATAAGCTGTGGGAAGAAAAAATTCATAAAGAAACGTCCAAAAGTGTAAGGTAAGGAAAGAAGATAATGGCGTATAAGAAGATGAATACTCAAAGTCACAGAAATATATTAAGCTTCATAAACATACTCCAGCAGAAGTTACAAGTTCAGGAATATCAGAAAGTGCTGAATGCTCCCCATTGAATGTCTTTGGAGTTTCCATGTCAGAATAAAAGGTGCCAGTAGATGCTCCAATATCTGACATGGGCAACGTTCCAGCCCCTTCAGTTGTTTCTGCACATTCTGATTGGAACCCAAAATTGGCGGCGTCGGGAGTGAAGTCATTTCTTCTACTTGGAGTAGTTGGTGAGGGCAAAGAAGGCGTAATTATATTTGTTGAGTTGTACTCATTATTACGAAGAAGTTCACTTTCCACACCATTATCATGCATAGATGAAGAAGGATCAACTACAGCCTCTACATGAGCTTCTTGCATGGCAACCAAATGAGGCTTTGCAGAAATAAACTCTTCCTTAAAGGTATCACTTAGTTCAGCACATACTCCTGCAGAATTACAGATCCATTTTTCTTATGAAGAGCCGGTCCAAATATTGAAATCAAAGCAGGTAAATTTGTAGATAGTACTACCAACCGGTTATCAAGGGCTCAAAAAGGGCACCATCCTTTCTTATTCTGTTGTTTAATTTCCAGATGTCCAGAGAAGAGCAAGGACAGTTCTTGTTCACACGACGAATATCGCTGGTGTCATTTAGCGAGTTTCTCATATACCTGTTATCACCACATCCTATTATCAAAATGAAAAACAGTATATCTGAAATTTTATAGGAGTGATATGTCAAAGCATACCCATTGCTCAACACAGTAGACTTGTCAAAGGGCTGCTTTCTTTTCCTCTTTCTGACTTTTGGTTGTGCAACAGGTGGGGTTGCTCGAATTTCTTCTTCAGGCGAATGGTGGACTGAAAAACCAGACAACATGTTTGATTGATCTATTTTAAAGTGAATCTATTTCTGATAACATAAGTTTGCACCTACCAAAAGGCATCAGAGGATCTGAATGATTATATGAATGTGATTCTTGATGCTTCTGAGATGTAGAATGTACTTCCGGCTTTTCTACATATGGAGTATGAGTTTCTATATCTTTTTCGATTTCTTTCAAAATCTCTGGGTCTGGGTCAGCTCGATCAGACAATGTCGGATTATCATTGAAATCAGAACCATAATTAGCATCCCGCATCATTTCATGACTTGGCAAATCTGGAGGACTGCTCTCTTCAGCAATTCCTTCATCAAGCAGTTGCTGTTTGCTCAGAGACTGGTCTTTGAAACCAGGAATTATGTTCTCTTGAACCGGATGTGGAATACTGCATCAGTAAAAGAGAGAAAAAACTCTATTCATAACTTCCACAGAAGACATAATGAACAATTCACTTTTAATGCTAAGTAATCCATACTCTTCCTCAATTGGCATGGTCCCTATTGTATCCCTTGGAAAATCCTACAATTAGAAGATCTCAACTGAGAAATAATATTATGTTTAAACCATCTTCAAATCAAAAGGATGTATAACCATGGAAGTACCTCATCAAAAGTGATGACAATATATGGATCTTTCCCAGTCGGAATTTGCTCTGTAATATGTAAATTTTGAGGTATTATGTTGCAATTATTGTTGAAAAGAAGCATAAGTGAGAAGGCAGGAAGAAACACAATCTGTATATAAGCAACCATACATAATATTGCTACCTGTCAAAGTAATATCATCGTAGCTCTTAAGATGATCATTCTCACACCTGAAAATATGAATCCAGGAATTTGTCAGCATCTATGGCTCTTAGACAACAAAAGAAATAGTTCTATAAAACAATACCATGAATAATTGTCTAATTCCATGGCATCAAGCTCAAATTTTTCTGGTAAAGTGACAGAGTGAAATGGTGCATGATTTGCATCGTCGGGTAGATTGACGTTCACGGATGTAAAGGCCTTGTTTATTGTTATCTGTACAACATGGCAATCTTCATAAAGATAGTCAACTTGCTTTGAATATATACGAGCAACCCCAAGTAGAAGATGTCCCGACATTCTCAGAGCAATAGGCACCTCAGGATACATGATGCGTTCTGCGAACAGAGTGATAAAATAAGATTCAACAACTAAGAATGTCAAACACTTATCATGTATATAGAGCTCAAGCAGATGTCAAATAGATGAGAGCATGAACAGCAATAAATTCACATTGTAACAAAGTAGTATTAAATTATATATATATATATATATTAACCAGTCCCATAATGTAACATGGTGAAATTGGAAACATATGGACCGCATTAAACATTATTGAAACGACAAGATCAATAGCTAAATATGAGAAAATATCAATGTATTCCTAATTATGTTGACAAAAAAGATATATTGTTTAGGTATATTTGTACTATAAATTAATGGAAAAATGTAATCTTGACAGATTGACGTCAATAAATATTGTTATCATCCAAAAATATAATCTTTGAAACTATATTCACATTAGATCGCCTAAATTGGGGAGAAAATGCATAAAACGTCAAATTAGATTGTTTTAAGTTTAAACATTAAAAAGATACTAAACATATAGAATTCATCATAAAGGAGAAATCAATTTTTCAATAACTCAAAAGATCCCAAAAGGTGTAATCTTTATAACTGTATTACAACAGTAAGGAAACAAAGTTATGTACAGTTGTATAATTAGTGCTTGTTTGGGAGGGATTTTTGGGAGAATAATTGAT